AACATGTTGTATGAACAGCGCTTGCGAGCTGCGAAATATGCCATTTTCGTGAAAGCGAGCTAGAATATGGCGGGGACTTATTCCGCGTATATGACATTTTTGTTTTATGTTCTATGTATATTCTTTCACTTTCATCTATAACTTACAATAATACACGACTTCCTTTATAGCACTCCACTCTTCCTACTCTGTTGCCGAAGATCCCGTAGAAAATGCCGAAAAGGAACAACCCAAAACATCTGCAGAGGATGCCGCTCAAGGGTGAGTTGTAACTCCGTGTTCGGTTCTTCTTCGCAATCAGGTAACCTCGGGTTACTTTGTAAGCAGCACAGTCGGTGGCCAGGTTCATGGAACTTCATTTCATGCGACAATAGAACCATACGTAGGGACTAAAATTGGTTTGACACCGGAGCGGTAAGTAGGTCACGGTCATTGAAGGAAGCGTTGCGTAATGTGCCTTATACATTTGTTCCGAATGCAGAAGTGCATATCCTTTGTTCATAAGGGATGCATTCACGCAAGATGGTCTTTAATACCAAAATGCCTTTGGTTCGCCCTTTCAACTTTGCCCAAAGTGGTTGCAGGCTATCCCTTCGACCCTTCTTGGAACCCACACTTTACATTTTATGCATCGCTATGGCGTAATCACTTAATAACCAGTCACAACTATGCGATATACTGTGTTGCTATGGAAAGAGTGCTTCTGAGCGCGCTTGGGTACTTTGTGGCTTCATCTTCGCTATCCCCGGCTGTTATTATATCGCATTACTGGCTGCGGTTAATCGGCCACGAATGTTTATGTACTGTTTACGTTTACCACTGGATAATGATTTCCCTCAGTGAGAGTAGGACTTGAGGACTCATGGAAAAAGTACAACGCTCACCGTTGGTCAATCTCTTTTTGGGTGCGCCACGCATTCTACATGAATTCGGAATCATAATGACATTTGAATGTGTTGCTGCTTATGCAGTGACTTGCACAGGCCTGCCAGTGTGCACCTCAGTTTTTTTCCTTATCAGATGGGTGTATATGCTGACTATACGACGTCGAGGACTCTAAGGTCATGTTGCTCTCGCCAGGATCCGGTCCTCGACCATGTCTTTCTTGCGAAAAGCTTTCCTCGACGTTTTTTGACTCCAGAAGCTGGGTCGCGGGATCGTCCTTGGGCTGATCCATATCTACATAGCTTCCGCTTCAATGATTCCATAACACAGCTTTAGGACGATGATGAAGAACATGTCAGAAAGTCGCTCAAGCATCCTGTAATAATGCCGTCCACGGAGGCATGCCTAGGTAGGAATCTGTCGATGTCATCCATTTACCAACTCAACCGACATGGTAATCATCTCAAGTTCCGCTAAATAGAGCAGTTCCCTCCTCCGTCTACTACTTTGGACAAATGAAACTCCGTCAAACGGATATGATGGTCAGCTTTCGCAAGCGAGGCGATGTTTGCAGTGCCAGTTCGTAGAGGTCGGGTGTGCCGCCTTTGTTTGAGCACTACTCGCCATCTCACTGTGCCCACTATTTGGTCTAGGATCTTAGCAGTGACCTCGACTGTCAGTCTCTTGGGAGGTAATTATACTGTTTTTGGCTGGAAGCCCTTGAGAAGAGTACTGATGACGAAGAGGTCGAACTGTCAGGTTAAAACGACAAAATTCACTTGTCGCCGGATTATCTGATTTTTCAGAAACATAAACTCTGTGTTCCTGGATTGCTCCTCAGAACACCGGCAACGCGCGGTGGCAGTGATGGATTGTAATGATCTATTTGCAGAAATGAAAAAAAAAAAATGAAATTTGGCAGTTTCTCACCTAAACAATTAATTACTGAAGGTCTGTGGTTGGCACAGAACTGCAAAGGTTTTGAAATAATCTAGGTTTGAGGGATGAAACATGAGTTTAATAAAAGAATGTTAGAAGAATGTTCTGCTTCCGGCTGATGATGACGCAAAAGCGTCCGTTTTTTAATCGCACTTTTGTCTGTTCGCGCTCGAAGAGCGTGACCTCCTGTTTTGCTGCTTGTTCAAGCAAGTCGACATCAGGTGAAGAAATGAGGGTCCGTCTAAAAGCCGCAAAGCGTGCCTCGGTCCCACTCACCCCTACGACGTACCTAGTACGTGTGACCTGGGATAATCTCTTTAGGTGACCTTGATGGACAAATAATTGGGTGTAAGATGGCGCTCCTTCGGCTCTGCTTAGTGATGCACGGCGAGGAATTTTCCAAAAACTCGTTTTCTAGATGAGAAAAAAAATTTCAATGAGGGAGTTTGTTCACTGTGGATTTTCATACCGACATCGATTCCGTAGCTGGGGGCAAAGTCCCCCCCCCTCTGTATTCATTCAGAGGGTGTTTTCAGCCGCTTTTGTAAAATCATTATTTGATCACGTTTCTCTGTTGCTTTACCAGTTCTGTGTGATCAAGCCACTTTTTTCTCCATTTTTTTCGTTGATTTTAGGAGATTGCTAGCGGGGATTTCGAAAAGGAGAAACTGTCACCGAAGGGGTCGCAGATAGTTGAACTGCTAAACTGCGCGAAATTGGGTAGAAGTTATTAAGTCGGCAAAAATTTCGTTCCTGAATAGTTTGAAAGAAGCATCTACCGTTCTTCCCAGGATGTTTTTCGATGAACAACCTCCCAGCCTTCACCACCCTCTTCTTCAATCTTCTCGCAATCTTTTTTCTACAACAAAAAACGAAGAAATATTGAAAAACACTGACGGCAGAAACAAACGCATCGACCAGTATTCGTTGAGATAGTAAGCTCTGAAGGGGCTTCGGTTCGCGAGCACGACTTGGTGGAGTAAGAAGCTCTCTTATCGCCCGGCATTCATAAAACTTAGAAAAACTTATACCTAGAAAATTTTCTCTTGAAGTCTTGATGAGTCTAGGACCAGTTAATCTCGCTCAAACTAGCACAGTTAAAACGTCAAGCAGCTCCATCTTTTTGGCTAGATATTGCTCCTTTTCGAGGTCAGGCAGCGACTTTTTTTATTCCGTAATCTAAATTAAGGAAAAAAAAAATGAAAATATCTTTTTCATCTTTGTCTCTAGTTCCTCGGCATTCCTCTGAGCGATCAGCTCTGGTCAAGTCTGAGTTTCTATCCTTCCTGTCTTGCTTCCATGTTTTCTTGGGTTATTCGTGATAAAGCTTTAGGGGGTCTTCTTCTTTTATAATGGTCATGTAACTTTCCGTGGCGAGTAGTTTGAATAGTTCTAGCCTCTGCTTTGGAATTCATCTGCGGCTTGATCTTCAGATTCGCTGCTATTGAGTACGGAGCCTGTCGTGGTGAATTCCTGCAGTCTTACCTATATTCCACATCAATTTGAGTCTCTCGTCGTTTGAGCTCTTATTCCACTTCCCTCTTCCTTTTCCTGTCTGGAATTATTTCAACTCCGCTTTTCCGTACTTCATTTCTACCTTCCTTTCCTCTTATCATTTATTACTGTCATCAAATAAAAACATTTTTAGTAGGATTTGTCATGTATACGTTAATCGAGAAAGTGATGCTACTTCTGATAACCGTTGCACGGTTACGGTTTGCGGATATTTGTGAAAGGGATGAAGCCTGGATGGGACCCGGCAATTTATGAGCTAACCAGGAAAGGTCAACAGGTCAGCCCGGCCATTTCCAATGAGCTGCACACCATTGTACGCGTCTTGGGAAGGTGAACACAGAACTGTCTTCAAAATTTGCAGAACGATTCTCTGAACGGAGTTATGAAGGGTTTTATCCCCGCATGGTCGTTTCACGTGCTGTCGCGAGGAAACGTTGAAGCGTCTTTACATTTACGTATGGAATTTCTGTGGCAGCAGAGCGCAACGGATAGGGAGCGGGTTTCTTAGGCGGGACGTCGTAGGATCGGTTCTGGGGCAGGTTCCTTTTTTGCATTTGTCCAAGAACATAGCCGACAAAGCTTCTAACATCTCTGCTCGCCTGCACTACCCTACAACCTGCAATCAGTTTTTTTCGAAAGTGTAGACCCATTGCGGCCTGAAAGAGTGCTTCTGCTTGTACCCCTCGTAACACGTGTCACAAGGGTTTTTGTAATGAAATATCATCATATTCATGTTCAGCGGGTCGAATTACCCCTGGGGACAAGTTTCTGGCCGAATCTGATTTTTCGACCTCATTCGGAAAGTGTGGGCTATTCCATGGGTAAATTAGCAGCAGATTGGAGCTCACCTACCATCGATGACTGGTCTCGGAATGGGATTTCCTCCCGATAGTCAAGAAAATGATGCAGACGGCACAAATAAGTAAGCCAGGTACTGTTGTTTGCAAAAAGACATGACTGAAGAGTTATTTCAGTTCGAAGACCAGTCATCACCATGCTAGTCGTAGTCGCTGGCTAGTCAGCCATGACTATCCATACCCCATTTTTCGAAGTTGAGTCAGAAGCTCAGATTTCGCTAAGGTGACGTCCCTAGGGGTTATTTGACCCCCTGAACACGAATATGATACCTATTTTGCGCGAAGAGCGCTGTGAGTCGCGCTACCGGTGCCAACGCTTCGGGCCAGCGCGCCCGTAAGAAGAAAAACAGTAAAGAAAAACCTCAATAACTCCGCTCAGAGAATCGTTCTGCAAATTCTGAAGGCAGTTCTGAGTTCAGCGTGTAAAGATGAGTACAGTGATGTGCATCTCATTGCAAATGGCCAGGCTGACCTGTTGACCTTTCCTGGTAAGCGAACTTTCATGCTCATACTACTTGAGTGTTCTTGACACATGTCGGATTGGAAAATTGAAAAATTTTTTGATGGGAATACTTTCTTAAAATCTGTTGTTACAGTGATGAGGAGACGATCAAGCTTGAAGGACTCTCAGCTGAACAAGTCAAAGAAATGCATGCGAAAGCTGAAAAACATGAGTTCCAGGCTGAGGTTTGTATTAGATGAAGGCAGAGAAATGCGTCTTGTTTCATGGCAGTGTGTGGTAACCGCATTTATTAAGGTGAACCGTATGATGAAGCTGATCATCAACTCTCTCTACCGTAACAAGGAAATCTTCCTTCGGGAACTCATCTCCAACGCTGCTGATGCTCTAGACAAAATCCGATTAATCTCTTTGACGGATCCCAGTGCACTCCAGACCAACGAAGATATGGGTATAAGGATTAAGGTAGGTGTGCCATCATACCCTTGGTCGTAGGTAGACTCAAAATCTCCGAGTTGCGGTAGGCGTGCTGCGTGCTTGAATTCAAGATGGTGGCAACGGCTAAGCTTTCCGTGAGATAATTTGGTTTTGGGATGCTGTAATCATGTCCCCATTCAACAGAAGATGACAGTTGTCTCAAATTAAAATATCGAACGAGTAACCAACCTCTATGCCACGCCATACTCCGTCCTAGGGATAATGTGTGTAGTTCGGTTGCAGAAGTGTACCAGCATTTAATTTTCTCTTACAGGCTGACCGGGAAAACAGACTTCTTCACATCACTGATTCTGGTATCGGAATGACCAAGGAAGAGCTCATGAATAATCTGGGAACTATCGCCCGATCAGGTACAGCAGAATTTTTGACGAAGCTGATGGATAGTTCGACGTCAGCGGACGTTCAACAGGTCAGTTCAAACGTCTGTGGAAGGATTTTCTACAATAATTGGTCAGTTGTAGAGTCACTTCTGATTTAGGAACTCATCGGACAATTCGGTGTTGGTTTCTACTCAGCTTTCCTAGTAGCTGACCGCGTAGTGGTTACCACAAAGAGCAACGATGATGAGCAGTACATCTGGGAGTCTGATTCCGGCTCTTTCACAATCGTAAAAGATCCTCGTGGACCTACCTTGAAGCGTGGAACACAAATCACTCTTCACATGAAGGAAGAAGCCAATGATTTCCTGGAGCCTGACACTTTGAAGAACTTGGTGCACAAATATTCCCAGTTCATTAACTTCAGCATCTACTTGTGGCAGTCCAAGATTGAAACAGTTGAAGAGCCAGTTGAAGATGAGCCGACAACCAAAGAGGATGGAGCTGTAGAAGAGGAAAAGGAAGAGAAGAAGACCAAGAAAGTTGAAAAAACCGTGTGGGATTGGGAGCGTGTAAATAACGTGAAACCAATTTGGATGAGGAAGCCTAGTCAAGTTGAACAGGAGGAGTATGACGACTTCTACAAGAGCATCTCAAAAGACTACGAAAAGCCTCTTACCCACGTGCATTTCTCAGCCGAGGGCGAAGTATCGTTCCGGTCAATTCTTTATGTGCCAAAGACGTCACCTAGTGATATGTTCCAAAATTACGGAAAGGTTGTTGAAAATATCAAATTGTACGTGCGACGAGTATTCATTACCGACGATTTTGCTGACATGATGCCCAAGTACCTTTCGTTCATTCGGGGTATTGTGGACTCGGATGATCTCCCTCTCAACGTATCCCGCGAAAATCTTCAGCAACACAAACTTCTAAAGGTGATCAAGAAGAAGTTAGTACGAAAGGTATTGGATATGTTGAAGAAGCTGGAGGGAACACTATTTGACGACTTTTGGAAGGAGTTCAGCACAAACATCAAACTGGGAGTCATGGAGGATCCAAGCAATCGAATTCGACTCGCTAAGCTGCTTCGGTAAGTGTTGCATATAGACTGGTTCGCTTCGGATGAAGGGATTTTCCGGCTGAATGGGGTCGGCGCGGCGCTATCAGTTTCGAAGCGAGCAAGTGACATGACTGTATTATATGCGCTCGTATCACTCGTTTTCTACCAGTTGTTGTCGCATACCCGCTTCAACAACTGGCAGAGAACGGTTTGGCGCCGTGGCACACTCACACTAGCTGACACGCCCCTTCATCTGCACGAATTAGAGCATATATCACATGCAGATGGTTTCATTCATAAAATAAGCATTTTTTAGGTTTGCTTCCTCCGCAGCGGCAAGTGACATGACGTGTGGCAACTTAGTTTTCATTACTGCGTTGTATCACTCGTTTTCTACCAGTTGTTGTCGCGTACCCGCTTCAACAATTGGCAGAGAACGCATTTGGCGCCGTGGCACAATCACACTAGCTGACACGCCCCTTCATCTGCAACGAATTAGGGTATATATCACATCTATGATGGCATCCACTCATAAAATGAGCATTTTTCAGGTTTGCTTCCTCCGCACTTGGCGAAGATTACTTCTCTAACCGATTATGTTGAACGTATGAAGGAGAAACAAGACAAGATCTACTATATGGCAGGAACATCTCGTGAAGAAGTTGAAACCTCACCATTCGTTGAGCGTCTCATCGCCAAGGGATACGAGGTAGGCTTTTCTTCGCATTCTCTTGCAAAAACTGTCGTATTACAAACTCCGCGATTGCATACTTTGGGCAGTGGCGTTCAGTTACAAATCTACAGCCGCTAAATGACTTCCCGCGGAAGAAAAAAGCAAAGAAAATCATGAAGAACACCGTAGGTGATTGTGCGCGTTCTCCGGACTTGCTCATCCAGTGAGAGTAGCATCTAGCAGTGCAAAAAAAACGCATCTCAAAAACCGAAATCGCGACTGGAATTGCCTTTGAGTTTTGGTAGACAGGGTAACTAAGGAGGCGTTTAACTGCCACATATGAGGGCCGCAGCGTCTAGTTTACATACTGTGAAACTGCGAAAAAGGGACAGTCTCAGAGACCAGACTGCTTGTACAAGGAGGGACGCTTACGAGTTGGTCGAGCGCGGGGACAGATAACCAGAAATATAAAGCTTTTTTGAATATCTCTCAAATGTAATGTTGATGTGTTTTCTTGTAGGTGCTGTACCTGACGGAAGCCGTTGATGAATACTGCATCCAGTCAATGCCAGAATTCGATGGAAAGAAGTTCCAGAATGTCGCCAAGGTGCTTTTTCTTGCGATAACTCCTCTGTAGTTTTCCTGTGTAACGGGGAGCCAAGAACGCCAACCTGAAGCTACGGAAATGGCATCCTTTATGGTCATTTGGTCATGGCAGTGACATTTTCCCCTTTAACGAAGTCCGTTATCCAAGATTCTGTAATAAAAGTTTTCCAGGATGGAGTCAGCATCGATGACTCTGAACAAGCAAAGGAAAATTATAAGAATCTCGAGAAGGAATTCGAACCTCTCACGTCCTGGCTCAAGGAGACTGGATTGAAGGTTAGCTTTTTAAAGAGCTGGTTTCAGATTGTGTGTAATCTCATTCAAGGAGGCTCGCTATGTGTCCAGGAGTTTAAAGTTTCTGCGACCCAGAGTTAAAGTTTATCCGTTCTAGGATTTGATCGAAAAGGCGGTTGTTTCACAACGACTTGTGAAGTCTCCATCTGCATTGGTGGCATCTTCTTATGGATGGTCAGGAAATATGGAGCGTATCATGAAGAGCCAGGCTTACGCGAAGGCTAAGGATCCTTCGCAAGACTTCTATGCGAACCAGAAGAAGACCTTCGAGATCAACCCTCGACATCCAGTTGTGAAGGAATTACTCCGACGTGTTGTTGAGGACAAAGAGGATCAAAAAGCCAAGGACACTGCCCTTCTTCTGTTCGAGACTGCCACTCTCCGATCAGGATACTCTTTGAAGGACCAGGTATCTTCTATCTTGTTCATCCAGAGATCTGGGCGTGTACATTTCTATATGCTACATAAATTCCTTCCAGGTTGGATTCGCTGATCGCATCGAATCGGTCCTTCGACAGTCGCTTAATGTGGCTGCAGATGCTCAAGTAGAAGCAGAGCCGGTTATTGAGGAATCAGATGAAGCCTGCTGAAGGTGAAGGAAGCTGAAGAACCTGCCTCAGAGGAGTCTGCCGCGGATGAAGAAACCAAAGTGGAGGAAGAACACTCAGAGCTTTAGCTCGTTGGTATAGTTGTTGTGCAATCAAGTATGACCTACCTATTTGTTTTGTAATTGTTGGTGGTCTGTTGTGATCGAGGGATTCGATCATCCCGTCTCTGCATCGTCTCATTGATACGGTTTCCGTTTTGTTTGATGTATTTGTGTTATTAAGGTAATAAATATATATTTATATAACATCGTAACAAATTTTTGGCGCAGTTTGATTATGAGAACCATTTTGCACTGTAGCTACTTGACTAGTATCTATGTATTTACAAATTTTACACTGCTGAAGCCTGCGAACTCTTATGAAGCTGGAGCAAGCTCGTCGACCACCATGAGAAGCTCAACTCCTGTAAGCTTCCGAAATGGCCCTCTAGATGGGACAGCACGTCGATGGGAAGTAGCGCAAGTGCATGCATAGGATGTGAACCTTTCACCCCTCGGTGGTAAGCTTGTCATTTGCCACTACACTATCTCCGCCTTTATTCACATACAGGGTACAGAATCGTTGTGTGAAACACATTGGAGGGTCGTACTTTTCCGCTAGGGAGAGGAGGGGTCGTATTTGGTCGTTGTTGGGAGGGGGGGGGTCGTGTGTGGGATTGAAATTTGCCGCGCTGGGAAAAAATTTTTCTCAGTTGATTTTTTGTGATTTTTCTTGTTTCATATGTAATGTCCCCCCGTCCCGTTCGACAGCAAAGTTTTTGGGAATAAAGGTTGGAAAAGTTTCGGAAAAAGTGGTAGGAACTTGGGGATAATCTAATAGTAAGAAATTTTCCTGTTTAGCGTTGACTGTATAAACCTCCCCCTGCACGACGAAAACCTTTGGGTGAAAAAGTGGAAAATATGGGAAACCCTGATCTCATATGGCCCTTTCAATGCACGGACGTGTTTCAGGTCTTTTTCTACCAATGGAAATGTCAAAGGCTCATCTCCTGATTGAAAATGGTGGTGGGCCTCAACTACTATTGACAAGGTGGTAATTTATCAAATAGTGAGGAGTAGAAGAAGATAAGCTCTCGCAATGCCCTGGATGATAGGAACCCTGCCGAACCTCGCTTTGTACGAGCGCACGAAGAGAGAATGTGTTTGGGCGAGTTATCACTTGTTATCATCATGACCCCTTGAGGGCAGTTGGCACGATAAATCCCTGTGACGAGAAGAATTAGTACCCCTGGCAGGGCGGAATTCCGTGACCCTGAGCAGTCCCTTTTCCAAGGAAGGCAAGACCGTTGCCGTAGCAGCTATTGGCAAGATGCCTAAGGGAAACTCGTCCGGAATTGCTCTTCTAGTTATTGAGAACGAAGGCTTTCTTCGCAGGTTTTTGACCGTTTTACTTCGATTTTTTTTCTCCACTTTCCCACTAGCATTTTAGGCTGAGTACAAAATAATCGTGCCAACTGCCTTTAAAATCTCACTCTCACCAGCTTGTAGCAAGAAAAACTACACCGTCACGGCGTCGATAGAAATGAATGTTAGGTGTGGTACGAAACAGTGGGCAGGGCATCGCCCTCATCATGAGCAGGTAGCGTGCTTATCGCGAAAGTGGTACATCTTGTGCTTGTGAACCGGTATCACCTTTTACAAGGAAGGCGTCTGCACGTCACGTACGCGAGAGAACTACTTAAAACATTGAAGACAAACTGAACACCCAATTTCGAAGATTTTAGACCCTGCTCTGTGTCGGTTGAGCGGATCTGCAGCTGCAATGGTCTGCCACTTGCTTTGGACAAAGTGCACGGGAGCGGGGCTGGAGGGTACTGATACCCGGGTGCCGCCTCCATACTCTGCGCATGCTATCCTTGGAGTGCGAACTTTGCGTCGATACAAAAATCTCTCGGAAAACACGGAGTGAGATGTAGCGAACACCCAAGAGCGAGAGGGAGCAGAAAA